TCCACAGTTCAACCCTGAGCTACACATATTCGCTTATATTAACATCTGTCCTCTGCCATGGTCAGTTCACTCTCTATTAGTCTCTGGAGTTCTCGGCAGCCACTCATTGCCAACATGAAGAAAGAAACCCAGACATCTGATGGATGCTGTTTGGTTTCAGAAGGAACTCAGGGTTGTTCCTGAGGCTTCGATGCATGTTTTGACTGAGGCCCTGATTGTCGCCTGGAATGAGAAGGCAGCCATGGCCTTGGATTCGATCAGATTTCTGCAGGCTCTGTCCATAGTACCCAGAGAACTCAAATGTTTTCTGAGGAACTCCAGGAGAAGAAGCCACAAAAGAAGTATCTAAAGTCACTGGAAGAAGACAAAGAGTGAATCTGATTTAGCACAGGTAACAGCCTTTCTTAAAGATTATCTTTTGATGATAAGGAGTGGCAAAAAACATAGCTATTTTTCTGCTCTTATCACATTCATAGTTAGCTGTCCAGTAAGCTAGAGTAACACATTTTTTCCTTGGTAAGTAAAGAAGAGCATCTACAAAGGTGCTATGAAGACTACTCTAGACATCTGTCATACATAGTTGCCGCAAAATACTCTGAATTAGATTCTGACTGTGCAAGTCCCTTGGAATTGACTAAGGCACAGTCCAGCATAGTTATCTGGAAGGATTTTGAACCTGTTGGTTCTGAGGAAGTGGACAGGGTCCTTAGTGCTGTGAATATGGCCACCTGTGTATTAGATCCTCATTCTTCCTGGTTAAGACTTTCTAGGAGACAAAATAATAAATGCATTCTTGAGGGAAGGGATGATTCCTCTGGCTCTTAAAGTGGTAGAAGTCTCTTCCCTACTCAAGAAGCCATCTCTGAATCCAATTTTGTCTAGTCTCCAACTGCTGTTAGTTTGTACCTCCAGAAGGCCCTGGACTCCTTTTAGTCAGGTTTCAGACCAGGGTATCTCACTGAAACAGCATTGATTACAGTAGTAGACTACCTTTGATGGGACTGGAATTGGTTGGTACATCCACACTAGGCCGTTTTGACCTTTCAGCAGCTTTTGATACCATCAAACATGGTAGCCTTCTGGACCAGCTTTAAGATTTAGGAGTGGGAGGTATGGTGTTGCAACGGTTCTTGTCAGCCTCACAATGGAGATTCCAGGGAAGTCTAAAACTACTTTTATTAAGATGGACTATTATAACAGAATCTTGCAAGTTTGACTATGCTTTACTTCCCCTTCCCCCTATCCTCCTGTAAAACTAAGGAGTGTCTGAATAGTTTCCTTCTCCTCTCAGATTGTTTTGCACTTGAGTCATGCTTTCCCTTCGTTGCTCTGAGAATGGATCTGTCTTATCTCTGTCAAGGTAATATTTAATTTCTACAGTTCTTCTCCTTCTTCCAGAGTGAGTTCCAGTTAGCATTGATAGGGAAGGGGAGACTTAGCCTGAGACCTCTTCTCTGTGGGGTGCTTCAGGGGTCTACTTTTTTCTGCTCCTTTTGGTATCAACATAAAACTGCTAGATGAGGTCATCTGTTGGTATGGGGTCAGTCAATATGCTGATAAAACCCAGTTGTACATCTCAATCAAAGGGTGCCAAGGTTCTTTCCCAGTGTCTGGAAGCCTGTGGGTGGGGGGAAGTCTGGATGGGGAAAAACAGCTTCAGGTGAACTCAAGCAAGACCAAGTGGCTATGGGCTTTGGGGTCACCTAGTTCAGATTTTCCACATTTAGTTTTGTAAGGGGTTGCACTCTCAGACGTAACTGGTGCACAATATGGGGGTTCTCTTGGCTCCTGCTGAAAGGGCAGGTAGCAGCAGGGAGGGCCTTTGCACAATTCATCTTGAGCATTAATTTTAATACTTGATCCCCATGCTGGTGGATGACCTGCCTCAACAGATTCCTATAGAGGTAAAACAGGAATGACAAGAGTGTCAAGCCCTGTAGTACCCCAAAGTGATGGGTTTTAGGACATGACCTCCCCGCTCCCACTATCACTGACTGGAACCTCTCCTTCATGAAGGAGGAGAAATCACTGTAAAACAGTGACTCCCAGAGCTCAGAGGAGGTCCAGTAAGGTGTCATGGATCAATGGTATCAGGATCAGGAGAACTGCACTACCCCTATCATAAGCTGGGGCTTTAAAAAACATCTTTGGGAAGAGTGGAGATTCTACTACCCCCAAAATCCTGGCTCTAACAGCTTGCTATTTGCCACATGACACTACATTTCAAGAAAACCACTTGTAATCTATTTCCTTCCACTTCATCTTCAGAAGTGTTTTTAGTAGAAAAGTGGGAGAAAAATATTTTAAATAAATGGAATTCTGTCACGCTTGTCTTTTCATCTCAAATTCACCTTGTTTTCCTTACCTTCCTTATCAGCATATGACTGACTATCTGCAATGACTTTTGGTAGCTCTGGATTGTAACGTGTTCCTTCTGGAAAAATCACAAGGTACATCTGTGGAATTAAACACACACACACACACACATATATATATATATGTACAAACAGTTTTATTAAGTTAAACAATTTACCATTAAGACTGAGAACTGAATGACAAGTAAGTTGTAAAGCTGAGCTTCCATGAGGTTGCTCCAGTCAAAAGTCTCTTTTTCTTCCAGCCCTGCATAACACAATTGTGCTCCTATCAGTTCTCACAAGTGTAATTTGTAAATAATGCAGAGCTAAGCCAGAGTTACTGCATTAAAGCAAAACTCAGTTCATTTAACATCACCTTTTCATCAATTGTGAATTATTTGGACAATAATACTGTATTGAAATTCCTTTTTTCCTTTAATTTGCATTCTTATTCTCCTTGCTAGTGAAAAAATACAACTATGCACCAGTCATTACCTGAACTTTTCATGAATATAAACTTGCATTAATGTTTTGCCACTACTGTTGCTTAGGGTTGTTTAAAAGGGGTATATATGACCCTTAAATCAGAATTCTCAAAATGTTTAAAAGAATGAGTTTCTTCAGTTTTAAATATCTTAATCAAAATGTTTCCTGTATAGTATATATACTGTATTTTTCCGACTATAAGACGATACTTTTTTCTAAAATCCTTACGCTAAAA